GGGAAGGTGACGAGTGGAAGACGGCCATGTTCACGCCGCTGGGCACCTATGAATACAGAGTTATGCCGTTTGGTCTCCAAAATGGCTCTCACTGTTTCAAGCATTCATGCACCACGTGCTAGCAGGACTCCTCTACAAGAAGTGCGTATGCTTTCTCGACGACATTCTGATCTTCTCAGAATCGCAGGAGACTCACGAGAGAGACGTAAAGGAGGTCCTGCAGAGGCTACGGGAGCACAGACTCTACGCTAAGCTGGAGAAGTGCCAGTTCGACGTGACGGAGGTGGATTTCCTGGGCTACCGGCTGTCCGACAAGGGACTAGCCATGGACAGCGCCAAAGTCCGCGCGGTGTTGGACTGGAATAGCCCGCGCAATCGGAAGGAGGTCCAGAGGTTCGTCGGCTTCGCCAACTTTTACCGCAAGTTCATCAGGGGTTCGCGAAAGAGACGGCAGCTATCACGGACACCCTCAGTTCCAAGAAGAAAAGTTCACCTGGACGGACCAGGCGGAGCAGTCCTTCAGGAGACTTAAAAGCCTCTTCGCGTCCGAAGAACAGCTGCTACACGTGAATCCCGGCAGGCCCATGCGGGTTGAGACTGACGCATCTGACACAGCAGTGGGGGCCGTCCTCTTGCAGGAAGATCCGCAAGGGAACTGGAGGCCCTGCGCTTTCTATTCCCGGAAGCTCAGCAAGTCGGAACAGAACTACACCATCTGGGACAGGGAGTTGTTGGCCATCCACGCGGCTTTCAAGGCGTGGCGGCACTTCCTCATCGGAGCCAAGCACACCGTGCAGGTCCGCACGGACCACAAGAACCTAGAGTATTGGCGCACGGCGAAGCTCCAGAGCCAGAGGCACATGAGATGGGCGGAGTTCTTTGCGGATTTCGATTTCCGGATAGAGTATATCCCGGGAGACAACAACGTCATAGCGGATGCGCTCTCCAGGAAACCGCAGTATCTCGAGGAAGCGGCACCAGTGGCAGCCAGGCACATTTTCGCACTGCAAGCGTGGACATGCGCTTCCGCCGCCGTGGACCTGGACGCGGTACGACGCGCGCTACAGACGGATCCGTTCGCACAATCCAAGATGGAGGAGGTGCGAAGAGGGACAGCAAAGGACGGCGAATTCCAGATACGCGACGGCCTACTGACCCGCAAAGGTGCTCTCTACGTGCCGGGAGACGATCTCCACGCGAAGGTTCTACAGCAGTTACACGACGCACCCAGCGCGGGTCACTTCGGCAAAGAAAAGACGGCGGACTTAGTAGCCAGAGACTTTTGGTGGCCCCAGATGCGGGGAGAGGTCGCGGATTACGTCGCCAGGTGTGACACTTGTCAGAGGTCCAAGCCAGTGCACAAGAAGCCAGCGGGATTGCTGGAACCGCTGGAGAAACCACTACAGCCGTGGGAAAGGGTGGCGCTGGACTTTGTTACTGATCTGCCCAGTTCGCGCGGCAAGACGGCGGTGCTTGTGGTTGTAGATCTATTCACCAAGATGGCGCACTTCATTCCTTGCGCGAAGGTGGCAACAGCGGAACAGACCGCCAAGCTGTTCATAGATCACGTGTTCCGGGTGCACGGCTTACCACGGTCCATCCTGTCCGACCGGGGTCGCCAATTCATTTCCAGTTTCTGGCAGAAACTCCTGGGCATCCTGAATGTAAAGATCAACTTAGCGTCAGCGAGACACCCGCAAACCAACGGCCAAGCGGAGAGGGTCAACGCCATCATGCAGCAGTACCTGCGATGTTACGCCAATCAAAAGCCTGCAACTTGGGTGGACTACTTACCGATGGCCGAGTTTGCCTACAACAACACGAAGCACGCGTCCACGGGGGTGACACCGTTCTTCGCCAACACTGGGCGACATCCCAGAACCTTCCCGGCGTTGGAGACACCGACGCAGGGGGAGTCGCAGGGAGCTGAGCATTTAGCAGCAGAATTGCAGGAGGTCCACGAGGAGCTACGACGGCACTTGGAACTAGCTAAACACGCCTACAAAGTGCAGGCAGACAGGCACAGGAGGGCAGGAGAAGACATCCAGGTGGGGGACTGGGTATGGTTAGCAGCCCAGGCGGTGCCGGCCAAGTCGTTAGCTAAGAAGAAGCTAGGACACAAACAGCTAGGGCCATACCAAGTTGAGGGCAGGATCAATCCCATAGCTTTTCGGTTGACCCTCCCAGAAGGTTCCAGAATGCACCCGGTCTTTCATAGGTCGGTGCTTACACCCTACAAGGCCCCACACAGATTTCAGGAGCCAGGGACGGCACCAGACCCACGTAGAAAGTCACCGGAGGGGGGAAGTCACCGAGGACCCCGACGCTCAACGAGGTCACGGAAATTCTGGACTCGAGATGGGGGGAGGAGGGAGTGGAATACCTCCTCGCCAGGGAAGGTACCCCGGCCAGCGCCAACAGTTGGGTGCCAGATTATGCTCTGGAGGAACCTCTTCTTAAAGACGAGTTCCATGCACTCTTCCCACACAGGCCCATGCCAGCGGAGTATTTTGACGACTGGCTTTTTACGCCCACACTTTCAGACAGCACATTCCGGGGGTTCTCCTCCGCAGAGGAGACCACGCCGGTATCGAGACCTCCAAGGGGATCGTGCTCGGGGGTGGACACGGACCGCTCTTATTGGTGGGACGATCAACCAGAAGTGGGGTGGCGAAGGGGGCCTTGGCAAGCAGCATCGCCTGAAGTAACAGGGGGAGGGAAGGGTTTGGATGTGTTGGGGGAGGACCCGGTTTCGAGCACTCATACACTGAACTGGAAGCAGAGGAGATCGATGTTGACGAACTGTATCCAGCATCTACCCCCGCTACAACGGAGCTCCCGGAACCTGCGCCCGAGCAGCGGGAGGGGGGAAGGGGGGGCTTCGAGGGGGGGATGGATGTCAGGGGTTCAGGGACAGAGGCACAGGGTAGGGAGGAGATGGAGAGCGATGGGGATGAATCCCAGGACAGCGAGGAAGAGGATGACAATGACTCAAGAGATTCCATGAGTCTTTCCAGCGAATCAGAGGATTCCCAGAAGGGGGCGCCGGTGGTCAAGGCCAGGGAGCCCCAGGGGGACGTGTCAGGAACAGGGGGCCAGCGGGGATCCCAAAGTGGCAGCTGGGCGTCAGGACCAGCCTCCCCGCCAGAGTGCAGCGAAGGGGGTGGAGGTTCCAGTGTATCAGGGAAGCAGCTCCGGCAGCAGAGCAGGGAGGGAGGTCGGAGCAAGCCACCCTCCCGGAAGGGAAGGGGAGTAGTGAAGGGAGTAGTGTAACTGTCAAAGGAAAGTTAGAGGTTGGGCGCGCGCGCCAAGTTCAAATGTAGAGGCGCGCGGAAGTACAGGGAGCCCGGAGGAAGGGCCAGGTCCTAAAGCCCGCAGGAGGGGGGAAGAGCAGTCGGGGATAGCGCGTCACGGGAATACAGGAGGGCGAAACCCCAGCGGGCAGGAAGACCCTGAGGAAAAGGAAAGAGAGAAAGAGGTGGAGCAGCGCAAGGCTCTTAAACTGGTGCAGGGGAGGGACTGACTCAGAGGGGACTTCAACGGTCTAAGCGTACAGACGTGGGGCTGCGCGTCTAGGATATGAAGCAAACAATGAACTGCAATAAACGCTTTTGTATATAAGAAGAGATTGGCGTTGGTCTTTTGTGAGCTGAGACCTGAGGCAGCCCTGACACTAACCCTAACCCTAACCCTAACCCCTAACCCCAACCCCAACCCCAACCCCAACCCCTAACCCTAACCCTAACCCTAACCCTAACCCCTAACCCTAACCCTAAACCCTTAACCCCTAACCCTAACCCTAAACCGTAACCCTAACCCTGATCAATGAACAAAAATTGGATTTCTTTGATTCAAATCACATTTTTAAAAAAATGTAAATTGGATTTCTAAAATGAAATGCTTTTCGAGGAAAAATCTTTCGGAATATATTTTTCTATTTAAGTTGCATTATTGTCCGAAGGCTATTCACTGGGAAGTAAGGATTTATTTTAACTTTTTCATATATGCTAAAATTCAGTCTAAGAATTTTTTTTAAAAAAATGTTTAACTACGTCAGTTAACAAACATGGATATACAAGTGCCCTGACAATAAGCTATAATGTTATTGATTTAGTTAAATAAATTGTTTAAATTCTTATTAAGGAAATGATTATTTTTCTCCTTCCAATAAGGTACAGCAGAAAAGTTGTCCAAATATACAGTGGTACCTCAGGTTAAGAACTTAATTCGTTCCGGAGGTCTGTTCTTAACCTGAAACTGTTCTTAACCTGAAGCACCACTGTTAGAGGTATCGGTTGGTTGCTTGAGAGCAATCAGGCAATATGGCTCAAGAGTCTGTTTTCCAGCTTTCTTCTTAGTGATCAAAACTTTTAGAATGCAGAGCGCCTCTATTCCGTGTCTTGCTCATTCACGGGCAGAATCTGAGAGTGGGCGGCCCTTCAACCTTCCCCAGCAGAGTAATTTCTTGGTGCCCAGTCTGCGCCTCCCCTCTCTGCGCGGAAGCCTACTGCGCAAGGAAGGCTTGGGTAATGGGGGACCCCCCTCCACCCCGCTTTGCTCAGGCAAGGTGTCCTGGCACCGCCTTGCCTCCTCTGACCCCTGCATCTCCTCCCCTTCCTCCGCTGAGGAAGTGCTGCTTCCCATGATCTTTGGGGGCTCTCTGTAATCCACCCGGCTTTTCCCCTCTCGCCCCTGAGCCAATGGCAGTTCTTAACCCGAGGTACTATTTCTGGGTTAGCGGAGTCTGTAACCTGAAGTGTATGTAACCTGAAGCGTCTGTACACAGTTAACTTATTATACCCCACAATAATTTCATAATTATCTGTCTATGCATTCTTAACATTATAACCAAATCAGTAGTAAAAACTACTCTGGAAATTTATTATTCCCAAAATGAAACCTTCATCTGGTTGTAAATATTAAGATTATACAAGCAAGAATGTAAAAATATGTTTTTAATCGATTTGATTTCAATCAAATCCACCCTGCATCACACACACCTGGGGAGCTGGCTGGAGGTGTTGGAAGATGGTGTCCAAAATCTCCGTTTCATCCATCATCTCCAAAGCTTCTCTGACAGTTCTTCCTCCCAGCATTTTCTTACCCACCAACAAGTACTCTAAGTTTTCATCAGAGAGTTCTTCAGAAAGAAAGAGAGAGAGAGAGAGAGAGAGAGAGGTGAGTAAATGAGGCGGATGAGAGGGAAAGGTATCTGTATCAGTATTTTTCCATGTATAACACGCTCCCATGTATAAGACCCCCCCTATTTTTGGGCACTCAAAATTTAGAAAATGGGGGCAGATTGCCAAGACTTGTTAAGCTTTTTTGGGGAGGGGTTGCCCAGAGTTGTTGAGCTTTTTTTTGGGGGGGGGGAGCCATTAATCAAATTGCACAATTGCAGGCATCAACCACCAAGTCACCTATCATCTGCCAGTCGACAACAGCCCTTTCCACAGCAAAGAAATCATGGCTGGGAATCTCCTCCTGGTGGCTACAACCAAGCGCCCGTCTGTGGTGTTCGTACAGAGCACCCGGTTATCTCACGGATTATTGACCCGTACACCACTAATCCGCTGCCACCAACCAGGTCCTCCCTGGTAAAATCACTTCAGTCTCAGTCAGCTTTTCAATTACCAATAAAGAAGAGTGTATTTTATTTCAGAGATAAAACAAAACTTTTGCAGCATTCCAAACGGTGTTCCTCTTTACTTTCTTAGTCTTATGTTCCTCTCTCTATCTCTGCTACCTCCCCACACTCGAGGACCAATTGCCCTAACTGTCTCTCTATTACCAACTGCCTTTCCCAACCAGCCAACCCATGAAATCCAACCAACTACCCACCCACAACTCCCAACGAACTCCTCTCAGAACTCCTCCCAGAACTAGTTTTATAGACCCACTGACTCCATCCCCCTGGGTCCTGTCTGTGCAACCTATTTAACTATTTCCCCTTCAGCACTCTCTCATATATGTTAACGTCACACCGTCCCCCCTCAGCACTACCTATGTAGAAGAGGAGCCCCAGTTTGACACTTGATTTGGGGGGTAAAAAACCTCGTCTTATACACGAGAAAAGACGGCAAGTTCTTTCTCAGGGTGCTTCTTGCCTGTTGCAATGAGCGGGTGCATGCCATAATTGAACAGGGATCATAGAACTGTAGCGTCTGAAGGGACCTGCGGGGTCACCTAGTCCAACCCCAGCAATGCAGAACAGGGGCAGCCACCCGGAAGTCCATGCTCCATGTTATACGCCTCTTAACGGGGGGGGGGGGCTTTGTGTACACAGTGCAGTCTAAAGATAATTTGTTTGCTGTAAATGTGCCTTTTTCCACAGGAGAGGATGACACCGAAGATGCGAAGGGCCAATGTGTGAATGTAGCGCCCCACCATGGTTGTTCACATATTTGGCACCGACGCTTCACCCATTTGAATTGGGGATATCTCCAGAAAGCACCAGAGCTGACACAAGGGTGCAAATTTAATGGGCGAACCCATGTTGGGTGTAGTGAAGGGTTAACCTTCTGTGTCTCGAGGCTGAGAGGAGGCGCTTACAAGGGAAGTAAGCCAGGACGTGACGAAAGCAGCTTGGAATGCTGTGAGCTGAGTGAAAGTGACAGAGGTTCTGAATTCACTGGTTCTGCTTTACAGGATTTCTTTAGGGAGAAGGGGATTAGCCACAGACTGACTGCTCCTTACTCTCCGCAACAGAATGGGCCGGCAGAGAGAAAGAACAGGACGGTGCAGGAAGCTGTGTCTGTGATCCTGTGGGACGCAGGGCTACCCCAGAAATATTGGTCCGAAGCTTGGAGATTTGTGGTCCATACGCAGAATAGAGTGTACAACTCTAGTGTAGGAAATACACCGTATTTCTTACTGCATGGAAAGAAGCCTAAGGTACACTACCTTCGTGTGTTTGGTTGTGAGGCTTGGGTGCTTATTCCAAAGGCTCTACGCAAGAAAGGTGAGCCAAGATCTAAAAGAATGATCTTTGTAGGGTATGAGCCTGGCTCAAAGGCCCGGCGGTTTGCGTACCCAAGAGGAGACCAGTCTAGGTTGGTTATCAGCAATAGCGCTGAGTTCTGTGAGCAAGCCGGTTGGAAGCGTCTGCACGCTAATCCAGATGTGATTCCACAGCAGTTCTATGACTCAGACGTTGAGGAGGAAGAGGAACTTGGTGCTGGGGACCACGGTCCAGAGTGACAGAGTCCAAGGCAGGGACAGCTCAGGATCCCTCAGAGGGGGGAACCTAGAACAGGCTTGAACCCAGACATCAAGGAAACCAGGAGAGACCCCGGCCTTGTATCATTATTATTATTATTATTATTATTTATTATTTATACCCCGCCCATCTTGCTGAGTTTCCCCAGCCACTCTGGGCAGCTCCCAATCAAGTATTAAAAACAATACAGCGTTAAATGTTAAAAACTTCCCTAAACAGGGCTGCCTTCAGATGTCTTTTAAAGATAGGATAGCTGCTTATTTCCTTCACATCTGAAGGGAGGGCGTTCCACAGGGCAGGTGCCACTACCGAGAAGGCCCTCTGTCTGGTTCCCTGTAACCTTACTTCTTGCAATGAGGGAACCACCAGAAGGCCCTCGGTGCTGGATCTCAGTGTCCGGGCTGAACGATGGGGGTGGAGACGCTCCTTCAGGTATACAGGACCGAGGCCGTTTGGGGCTTTCAAGGTCAGCACCAACACTTTGAATTGTGCTCGGAAACGTACTGGGAGCCAATGCAGATCTCTCAGAACCGGTTTCATGTGGTGCCGGCGGCCGCTCCCAGTCATCAGTCTAGCTGCCGCATCCTGGATTAATTCCAGTTTCCGGGTCACATTCAAAGGTAGCCCCACGTAGAGCGCGTTGCAGTAGTCCAAGCGGGAGATAACTAGAATCATAGAATCATAGAGTTGGAAGAGACCACAAGGGCCATCGAGTCCAACCCCCTGCCAAGCAGGAAACACCATCAGAGCACTCCTGACATATGGTTGTCAAGCCTCTGCTTAAAGACCTCCAAAGAAGGAGACTCCACCACACTCCTTGGCAGCAAATTCCACTGTCGAACAGCTCTTACTGTCAGGAAGTTCTTCCTAATGTTTAGGTGGAATCTTCTTTCTTGTAGTTTGGATCCATTGCTCCGTGTCCGCTTCTCTGGAGCAGCAGAAAACAACCTTTCTCCCTCCTCTATGTGACATCCTTTTATATATTGGAACATGGCTATCATATCACCCCTTAACCTCCTCTTCTCCAGGCTAAACATGCCCAGCTCTCTTAGCCGTTCCTCATAAGGCATCGTTTCCAGGCCTTTGACCATTTTGGTTGCCCTCCTCTGGACACGTTCCAGTTTGTCAGTGTCCTTCTTGAACTGTGGTGCCCAGAACTGGACACAATACTCCAGGTGAGGTCTGACCAGAGCAGAATACAGTGGCACTATTACTTCCCTTGATCTAGATGCTATACTCCTATTGATGCAACCCAGAATTGCATTGGCTTTTTTAGCTGCCGCGTCACACTGTTGGCTCATGTCAAGTTTGTGGTCAACCAAGACTCCTAGATCCTTTTCACATGTACTGCTCTCAAGCCAGGTGTCCCCATCTTGTATTTGTGCCTCTCATTTTTTTGCCCAAGTGCAATACTTTACATTTCTCCCTGTTCAAATTCATCTTGTTTGTTTTGGCCCAGTTCTCTAATCTGTCAAGGTCGTTTTGAAGTGTGATCCTGTCCTCTGGGCTGTTAGCCACCCCTCCCAGTTTGGTGTCATCTGCAAATTTGATCAGGATGCCCTTGAGTCCATCATCCAAGTCGTTGATACAGATGTTGAATAAGACCGGGCCCAAGACAGAACCCTGTGGCACCCCACTAGTCACTCTTCTCCAGGATGAAGAGGAACCATTGATGAGCACCCTTTGGGTTCGGTCAGTCAGCCAGTTACAAATCCACTGAGTGGTAGCATAGTCAAGACCGCATTTTACCAGCTTCTTTACAAGAATATTATGAGGCACCTTGTCAAATGCCTTGCTGAAATCAAGGTAGGCTACATCCACTGCGTTCCCTTCATCTACCAGGCTTGTAATTCTGTCAAAAACGAGATCAGGTTAGTCTGACATGACTTATTTTTCAGAAATCCATGCTGACTATTGGTGATCACAGTATTCCTTTCTAGGTGCTCACAGACTGTTTGCTTAATGATCTGCTCCAGAATCTTCCCTGGTATTGATGTCAGACTGACTGGGCGGTAATTATTTGGGTCCTCTCTTTTCCCCTTTTTGAAAATAGGGACAACATTTGCCCTCCTCCAGTCTGCCAGGACTTCGCCTGTTCTCCAGGAATTCTCAAAGATGACTGCCAGTGGTTCTGAGATCACATCTGCCAGTTCTTTTAATACTCTTGGATGCAGTTCATCTGGCCCTGGAGACTTGAATACATCTAAACTAGCCAAGTATTCTTGTACTATCTCCTTAGTTATTCTGGGCTGTGTTTCCTTTGCTGAATCATTTGCTCCAAATTCTTCAGGTCGGGCATTGTTTTCTTTATCGGAGAAGACTGAGGCAAAGAAGGCATTGAGGAGTTCAGCCCTTTCTGTGTCCCCTGTTTGCATTTCACCATCTTCTCCTCTGAGTGACCCCACCGATTCTTTGTTCTTCCTTTTGCTACGGACATACCCATAAAAGCCTTTTTTGTTGCTTTTAACCTCTCTAGCAAGCCTGAGTTCATTCTGTGCTTTAGCTTTTCTGACTTTGTGTCTACACGTGCTGGCTATTTGTTTGAATTCCTCTTTGGTGGTTTCCCCCTTTTCCATTTTTGTACACATCCTTTTTAATCTTAACTCAGTTAAAAGTTCTTTAGATAGCCACCCTGGCTTCTTAGGCACCTTCCATGTTTCTGTCTCATTGGTATTGCCTGACGTTGTGCTTTTAGTATCTCCCTCTTAACAAACTCCCAGCCATCATGAACTCCCTTTCCTTTTAGTATTACTGTCCATGGGATCTCACCCAGCACTTCCCTAAGTTTTATGAAGTCAGCTTTCTTAAAGTCAAGAAATTGAGTCCTAGTATGCTTGGCTGCTCCTTTCCGCTGTATAGTAAACTTCAGAAGAGCATGATCACTCGCGCCTAATGATCCTTCCACTTCTACCCCACTAACCAGGTCATCAACATTGGTTAGGACCAGATCTAAAATGGCTGTTCCTCTTGTTGCTTCTCCCACTTTCTGGACAATGAAGTTGTCTGCAAGGCCAGTGAGGAATCTGTTTGACCTTATGCTCTTGGCTGAGTTTGACATCCAACAAATATCTGGGTAATTGAAGTCCCCCATTACTACTATCTCCCTTCCTTTTGCATTCTTGGCCATCTGTTCCAGGAAGGCATCATCTATGTCCTCCGTTTGGCTTGGGGATCTATAGTAAACTCCCACAATGAGGTCCCTGTTATTCTTTTCTCCCTTAATTTTGACCCAAATGCTCTCACTTTGGCTTTGAGGTTCTAAATCTTGGATCTCTTCACAGGTATACACATCCCTGACATATAACGCCACTCCTCCTCCTTTCTTGTCTGGTCTGTTTCTCTGAAATAGATTGTATCCTCCCATTATTACATTCCAATCGTGGGACTTATCCCACCAGGTTTCAGTGATGCCTATTATGTCATATTTAGTTTGCTGTACCAAGAGCTCAAGCTCATCTTGTTTATTTCCCATGCTTTGCGCATTAGTGTACAGACATTGAAGTCCATTAATCATTCCCCCGTGACTCTTATTTAAGGATTTTTTCCTCCCACCACTAGGTCTGTGTGCTAGAGCATACACCACTCTAGTGAGACAATCCGCAGGCAGGTAGGGTCTCAGCCTGCGTACCAGGTGGAGCTGGTAGACAGCTGACCTGGACACAGAATTAACCTGCGCCTCCATGGACAGCTGTGAGTCCAAAGTGACTCCCAGGCTGCGCACCTGGTCCTTCAGGGGCACAGTTACCCCATTCAGGACCAGGGAATCCCCCACACCCGCCAGCCCCCTGTCCCCCCAAAACAGGACTTCTGTCTTGTCAGGATTCAACCTCAATCTGTTAGCCACCATCCATCCTCCAACCGCCTCCAGGCACTCACACAGGACCTTCACCGCCTTCACTGGTTCTGATTTAAAGGAGAGGTAGAGCTGGGTGTCATCTGCATACTGATGAACACCCAGCCCAAACCCCCTGATGATCTCTCCCAGCGGCTTCATATAGATATTAAAAAGCATGGGGGAGAGGACGGAAACCTGAGGTGCCCCACAAGTGAGAGCCCAGGGGTCTGAACACTCATCTCCCCCCACCACTTTCTGAACACGGCCCAGGAGGAAGGAGCGAAACCACTGTATGACAGTGCCCCCAGCTCCCAGCCCCTCTAGACGGTGCAGAAGGATGTTATGGTCGATGGTGTCAAAGGCCGCTGAGAGATCCAGCAGAACTAGGAAACAGCTCTCACCTTTGTCCCTAGCCCGCTGGACATCATCAACCAGCGCGACCAAGGCAGTTTCAGTCCCATGGTGAGGCCTGAATCCCAATTGGAAGGGATCCAAATGGTCCGCATCCTCCAGGCATGCTTGGAGATGTTTGGCAACCACCCGCTCAATCACCTTGCCCAAGAATGGTAAATTTGAGACTGGGCGATAGTTGGCCAAATTGGCTGGGTCTAAAGATGTTTTTTTAAGAAGCGGTTTAATGACCGCCTCTTTCAGTGGGTCTGGGAAGGCTCCCTCACAGAGAGAAGCATTCACTACCCCGCAGAGCCCATCGCCCAGCCCTTCCTGGCTCGCTTTTATTAGCCAGGATGGGCAAGGATCAAGGAGACAGGTGGTCGGTTTCACTTGTCCAAGCAGCCTGTCCACATCCTCGGAGGTAACAGATTGGAATTGATCCCATGTAACAGGACTAGACAGAACTCTAGCACTCTCCCGCCCTGGCCCTGCTCCCACGGTGGAGTCTACCTCCTTCTGAATCTGAGCGACTTTATCTGCAAAAAACTTTGCAAAAGCATTGCAAGAGATCTTGGGGTTCCTACCAGGCCCCGGTGGTGCAAGTGGTTCTGATAGATTGCGAACCACCTGAAAAAGTCTCCTGCTGCTGTTTTCTGCAGATGCCGTCACCATTGCCACTTGGTAGGCTCGACGTTGAGCTCTAGCCCGTGTCCAGTCTGATTCGGAGTGAGTTTTCCGCCACCAGCGCTCTAGCTGTCTCAATGATTTGCCCTCAGCTCCGGGGAAAACCAGGGGGCTGTCCAGGCTCCATGCAATCGGAGAGGGCACTTCGGAGCCAGACAGTCAATAGCCCTGGTTAACTCCGCATTCCAACGGGCCACCAGGGAATCAGCTGAGAGGCCATCAACTTGGGATAAAACATCCCCTACCACTCTCTGGAAACCAGTTGGATCCATTAAGTAGCGGGGGTGGACCATCCGAATCGGTCCCACCTCCCTGCAGAGGGGAAGGGTCGCGGAGAAGTCCAGTTGCACCAGGAAGTGATCTCACCATGGCACTTCTTTTGTTTCGCTTTTAGTTAGTGTCAGATCACCAACATCCGTAGAGGTAAACACCAAGTCTAAGGCCAAGGGGAACCCAAAAGGGATCTGGTTCTGCCTACTCACCTGGGAACGCTGGCCCAGAGTCCGCAAGGCTCTTCTTTTTGGGCAGGGACAAGGGCTGCTGCTGTCTTGAGTCTTCCCTGCTTGGGTCTTGCCTGCTGTCTCGCCTGCTTGCCTGCTGAAAAGTGCTGGCCTGGGGCTGCACCAGCCCTGGCATGACTAGGGGTGCAGCCTGCGTTTTCCTCCTGCCCTCTGCGGCTGATGTTGAAGGCTTCGCCAATGCCGGCAGTAGGACAGGGGCCTCGTCCTCATATGAGGGGTATACTTTGTTCTTTTTCTTCTTTTTTTAGAAAAAAAGTCATCCTGCAAGATGCAAAAAGATTAGGAATTATTGGGGAATGATATATAATGAATTCAAAAAACTGTTTAAAAAGACTTTTGTTAAGAAACCAGAAGCATTCCTTCTAGGAATTTTAGACCAAGATGTAAAAAAAGAAAATTGGAAATTATTTATGTATGCAACAACAGCGGCAAGAATTTTATTAGTACAAACTTGGAAGACACAAGAAATACCAACGAAAGAACAATGGCAAGGGAAACTTATGGAATATGCAGAACCGGCAAAACTAACAGAAAAATTACATGAAAAGGACAACAAAGTCTTTAAAAGAGAATGGGAACCATTTACAACATATATGAAGAGGCAACATAAAGAAATGGACTCATTGTCAGGGTTTGAGTGAACAATCACAACTGTCTACAACAAAAAATAAGACTATATGTGCTATATTGAGGAAATTTTGGGGAAACATCAAATATGCAAGGTGAACAATAGGGAAATAAAACAAATGTGAGTACGAGGGAAGTCCAGGGGAGGAGGGTCGAAATATGAAAAATTGTTAAAGATATATTGTTAGAAGTAGAATCCATGGAAAAATCAATAAAAAATTATTTTAAAAAAATAAATAGAATCTCTGGATAAGAAATTGTCATTTTTAGGTAATCTATTAAGACTGGAATATGATATTCCAGTTTTGATTGCTGGAAATTTAGCAATTGGGAAATATTATCCTGGATATTGACAGAATCTGGGAATGATTCAAAGTATTTGGTATGGTATTTTTATTTGTAAACATTGAAATGGGGAAGTCTTTTTACTCAGAGTGAGAAGGATACAGACCTGGAAACAGCAAGCTCATGTAGATCAAGGGGGGGAGGAAGTGGATACCGCGTAAGAATATTGTAAAATTTGTGGAGGAAAATGATCTGACATGATCTACTATTCCAGCCTGGTTATCTCTTCCTAATTCTGGGTGCTGTGTTTTATTATCTTCAATATCTCTTGTGAAAAGGTCTTTTAATGTACGGCCAGTAAAAGCCTGGATGTAAGGCCTGCCTTTTGTGTGAATAGTTTTGTTTTAGTTTTCTCATTATGGGTGGATCCCAGGACAGACTAGGTCTGGCTGAAGGTCTGCCCTGAAACCTTGCTGGAAGGATCTCCCCATGCTGGGCCACTTTGCAGGAGTCGACTCCTGCAGGTGGCTTGTCTTGTGTGCGGGTGGAGGCGCGCTGCCTGCAGAAGTTGACACTGGGACTAGCTACCTGGAAAGCCTCTGTGCCTGAGGACGTCACAACTCCCTGGCTTCTTCCCCCCACCTGGAGAAAGGGGAAGTCATGGACAACAGGACGCAGACAACAGACAGTCGCTTCACGACACCAATCCGCTCTAAAGAAGCCGGCGCATGGGAAGAGCCGCACCCCATCAGCTGCGAGCAGTACCTGTTCCGCCTCCAAATAATCATTTGGGCTTCTGTGTATATTCCCAGGTTGTACTTTCAGTTAGTTGGAAAGGGGGGGGCGGTTCTCTAGCAGATGCAGGAGTGAAACGCCATACCTTTGGTTGTGTTGAAAACAACAACTCATCTGTGGGAGCCTCAGCTTCTGATCCTAAGGATGAGGCCAATGCTTCTGGTCCTATCCCTGAAGTTCTTTTATAGGTACTGAAGATTTACTGGATATTCTGTTTATTGGTTTTGTAATGCTGTATGTCATTTAGAATGCGGTTGAACAACTCACACCGTTCATGTGATGGCTCTCTAGGAAGTCAGCCCAAATCACGGCCTGCACCACATCCCAGAGGAAAAGGGAACGTGAGCCTAAAACCTACAGGGGAGGAAACCAAACAAGCTGTTAGGTGCTAATTCTCATTTACTGCACCCTCATGGTAAGACTTTCGGAAAATGTCACCTTTCCCCAGACATGAGCTATATAGAGAATGGTTATTCCTCTTGTGAAATCAGGGAGACGTTTAATTAGTAAGGAATTACATGGGTTGTAATGATACCACCACAAATAGCTCTGAACAGGCCTCTGTCTCCAATTTCTCCATTTTACCCTGGCCAGCCCCTGAAAGAGCTGAATGGTTCTGGCTTTGGAACAAAATTCTGCCTAAAAGGTCCTTCCTGGGGGTTTTTTATGATGTTAGCCGCTCTGAGCCCGGCCTCAGCCGGGGAGGGCAGGATACAAATAAAAAATTCTCATTCTTATTCTTATTCTTATTAAAAGGGACACAAATGCCAAATTAAAACTAAATATATCACACTGACTTGGGGGGGGGGGGAGAGAGAAAACACACTCACTCTTTTTGAAGGTCGCTGTGTACCAGCGTTGCTAAGGGCCCCCAAGCCCCTGGAGACATGAGGTCACAGCACTATTGTAGCCTTTCTAGGCCTTTTTAACCATGGGTAGGAAAGCTTTGCACCCGGGCAGGGACGAAAAGAGTCAAACGACACCAAGGGGTTAAATCCAGAGAAAGAGCTTTATTCTGCCATTGGGGGAGGGGGCTGAGGCACCTGTGTGATGGATTCACAAAACAGGCCGCAGAAAAAAAAAATTACAGCAGGTTTTTATCCTTTTTTCCAAACCCCCTTTTTCCCTCTCAGTTTGCAGCAAGCTAAATGTGCTTGGACAAGGTCAGCTAGCCTGAGAAGCAAAAGACACTGTTCTCTACCTTTGTTACATAGAAAGATGCTGAGCTAAAAGCTTTTAGCCTTAGAGGAAAAAAAACTTTGAAAAGTGCAGTTTGAAAAGTGCTTGAGGCTTTGAGGCCGGGGGGGGGGGGGGATTCACAAACAGTTTTTAGGGTAACCTAACTAACTGTCCCCCTACACTATGACAACATGATGAAATGATGTCAGTGGAAAGGAGACCTCTTGCTCATCTCTTTTTATATTTACATTATATTTGCTGATTTATGATCCAGCAAACCTTCATCGAAGATGAACTAAGAACTTATTAATGGATTGAATATATATATATATTTAAATATTTTTAAAATTAATTCTCCATTAGTAACATTCTAATGATAACAAATCAAATCAAATCTTGCCACATCATAATACAAACAATAAAGCCAATTATACATTCCAAACTAAAACTTTTGGGGAGGCCTTTCCATGTTCTCGTTGTCAGGAGAAAGTTTCTTTCACTTGTTCCTGCGTTCTTCTCTCTTGTTTCCCCCCAGATTCAGCTAGGTAGATCAACTACCTAACTCTAAGGGGCTACTGTACAATTTTTTAATTTTTTGGAAAGGATTCTTTTAAATACTTTTTAAGGACTTTTTTTTTTTTTAAAAAAAGACTTGATTCTTTAAAAGGGATTTTTGGAAGAGTTTTAAAAATATTTTTTATTTTTTAAATATTTTATTAAGGATTTTCTTGTTTTACAGAAGTGTAGTGCCTCGTATTATTTTTTTTCCCCATGTAACATTTTTACAAATCCGTTTCATTTGTTGAGGCATTAGGGGGAGAAGAAAAAAAAGAAAAAAGAAAGGGGGGGTGGAGAGAGGGAAGATGGATGGGGGTGGGGTCGGGTGGCGGTGTTTCTATTATGTTTAATGTATGTAGAGTTTGGTGTCAGCGTTGCTTGTGTTGTTCACTTGTGTTCCTTTGGTGGTGAGAGAGGTTGGGGTTGGCCTAGGGTGTGATTGTTTGCTTGTGATTGGCTGTGGTGATCTTTGTTTTCGTGTGTGAGTGAGGTGGGTGGGTGTTTTGGATCAGGTTAGCCATATTGATTTGTATGCTGTTGGTGGATTATTGTCATTGTCCTGTTGGGCTGTGTATGTGATAAATGGGAGCCATACCGGGGTGAAGGCGTCTTCTTCTGTTTGTCCCCGTGTCAGTTTCAGTTTATTAGTTAATTTTTCTAGTAGGGCTGTTTCCCATACTATTTGGTACCATTGGTCCATGCTTACTCCTGACAGGTCTCTCCAGTGTCTGGTTATGGTGTTTCTGGCTGCTGAGAGCAGGTGGGTTATGAGTTCTTTGTGGTGTAAATGGGCATTGTTGTCTTGGAAGATGTTTAGTAGGGCCAATTCTGGGGTGATGTCTATTACTTGCTTAGTTATTTTACATATTTCTTGTATGGCTGTTGTCCAGAATAGTTGGATTTTGGGACACTCCCACCACATGTGGAGGTATGTGCCTGTGGAGGTGCACCCTCTCCAGCATTTTGGTGAGGTTCCTGGGTGTATTAGCGCTAGTTTCCTTGGTGTTAGGTACCACCTGTAGGTGAGTTTCAGTGTGAGTTCTTTTCTTTTCGTTGATATGGATTTAAAGGGGGTTTAGACCACATTCTGGTCCATTGAGTGGGGTTAATCTCATAGCCTATGTCATTCTCCCATTGTTTTTTGATTGCGTCTAGGGGATTTACAGGATTTTGGAGTAGTATTTTGTATATTGCGGATACCGTCCCTTTACCGTTTCCCTTTGTTGTTAGGAGGAGGTTTTCGAAGGTTGTCAGGGGCCTAGTTGCTGCTGATTTTACTGTTGGGTTGTTTAAGAGGGCATGAAGTTGGTGTTGTGTTAACCAGGGCATTTGGGTGTCTTCTAGTTTGTCTTGTATTTCTTGTGTTGACAAGGGTTTGTTATTTTTATAAAAGTCTATTAGGCGATATAAGCCTTTGGTTCGCCAGGTTTTTATCTTGAGGTTTTGTGCTGCACGGTGGAATAATGGGTGGTACGCCAGGGGATTAGTGGGGATGGGGTTGGGGATAGTTTGCCTATTTGTGTTTTCCATGCTTTGAGCATGGTCTGTGTGTACCTGTTAAGTGTTGTGGGAATTTTCTTTAGTTTGTTTGGGAGGAGTGGGTATGTTGTGGTGCAGGTGTTTTCAATTGTGTCCCTCTCTAGGTGTACCCATTGTTTTGTCTCATCTTCTAGTATATATGGGATTATGTGGCGTATTTGGTTGGCATTGTAATATGCTTCTATGTTGGGGATTCCCCATCCTCCTTCTGAGGTGGGGAGGTGCAGGTATTTGGGGCTTATTCTTGGTTTTTATGTGAGAAGATGAAAGAGTGTAGTTTTCTCTGCCAACTGCGAAGTTGGGTTGAGGGGATCCAGATTGGGAGGGTTTGGAATAGGTAGGTTAGTTTTGGGAGTGTGATCATTTTGATCATGGCTATTTTGTCTGAGAGAGTGAAGTTCATGTTATTCCATCTCTTTAGGTCTTTGTTAATTTGTCGCCACAGGGGCTTGTAGTTGTGGAGGTACAATTTATTGAGGTTTCTGGTTATTTGTACCCCTAGGTATCTGAACTTGGTGTGGCAAAGTTTTATTTTGGTGACCTTCGTGAGTTCTTTTTGGGTGTGAGGAGGGGTGTTGAAGCACATAGCTTCTGACTTTGTAAAATTTACCTGTAGGCCCGACACCATTGCAAATGTGTTGAGTTCTCTGATTAGGGAGGTTGCTGTGCTTATGGGGTCTGGTGTTGTGACCATTAGGTCATCTGCAAAGAGCCCTAATTTATAGGTTCTGCCTTTTATTTCCACTCCCTTGATGTCTGTGGCTGCTCGGATGCGGATTGCTAGGGGTTCCAGAGCCAGGATAAATAAGAAGGGAGACAGTGGGCATCCTTGTTTCGTGCCTCTTTGGATAGCTATAGTGTTAGAATCCATATTGTTAGTTCTGCATTTTGCTGAGGCTTGGGAGTATATTTGTTTGAGGATTTGTAGGAAGTTGGGGCCAAATTTCATGTTAGTTAGTACTGCTAATATGTATTTCCACTCCAAGCAATCAAAGGCTTTGAGGATGTCTAGGGACATAATTGTCAATGGGAGTTTGGTTGCCTTGCTGTGTTCGATCAGGTTCAGTAGTTTCCTGATGGGGTCTGTTATATTGCGGCCAGGGACAAAGCCAGTCTGGTCTGGGGCTATTAACTTGTGTAGGAAGATTTTTAGGCGGTTGGCCAAGATTGATGTGAATATCTTGTAGTCTTGGTTTATTAATGAGATTGGGCGGTATGATTCTACTTTGAGGCTGTCTTTTAGTGGTTTTGGGATGGAGACTATTTTGGAGTGGGTCCAGGTTTTGGGGATGGGGCCCCTTTTATGATGTCGTTGAATAGGCGGGTCATGTAGGGCATCAAGGGTTCTTTGAATTTCTTATAGAATTCTGCTGTGAAGCCGTCTGGGCCTGGGGCTTTGTGTGGTTTCAGGTTTTTGAGGACCGCATCTATTTCCTCTGGGGTGATAGGGCTGTCCATGAATTCCTGTTCCTCATTAGTTAGGGTAGGCATGGTCAGTCCTGCTAGAAATGTTCTGATTTCCTTCTCTGGTGGGTTATGGGAGGTGTATAGGTTGGAGTAGAATTCTGCAAATTCTGAGGTTATTTCTTTGGAGGGAATGTTATGTTGCCGTCTTTTTGGTGATGCAGTGTATTCTTGTTTTGAGTGCTTTTTCCTACATCTATTTGCTAGTAATCTGGAGTTTTTCCTCCATATTAGTAGTATCGGTGTTGAGAGTATATATTGTTGATCATTGTTTTGTTAATTTCTAGGGAGTCTAGTTCTCTCCTTTTTTGTTCTATAAGTTTGAGGAGTTTTTTAGATCCTGTTTGTTTGTAGCGTGATGAGAGGGCTGTGATGTCTTGTTCTATTTGCTAATTTTTGAGGAGGTTTGTTTTTTAAGGAATGTTTTCTCTTTTATGCAAGCTCCTCTGGTGACCGCTTTCATTGCGTCCCATAGGAGGGGGGTTGTTATATTGTTTACATCGTTTTCTGTGAGGTAGTTTTGGAGGGTTTTTGTGAGACTCTCTCTAATTTGTTTGTTTGTAGTTAGGATGGGACTGAAGGACCATGATGGGGTGGTTTGTGTTCCTTCTCCTATTTTAACAATGACTTCTACTGGGGCGTGGTCTGTGATTTTAATGTTACCTATTGTCAGGGCTGCCACAGGTCTCAGCTCACAAAAGACCAACGCCAATCTCTTCTTATATACAAAAATGTTTATTGCAGTTCATTGTTTGCTTCACATCCGAGGCGCGCAGCCCCACGTCTGTTACGCTTAGACCGTTGAAGTCCCCTCTGAGTCAGTCCCTCCCCGCACCAGTTTAAGAGGCTTGCGCTGCTCCACCTCTTCCTCTCTTTCCTTTTCCGCAGGGTCTTCCTGCCCGCTGGGGTTTCGCCCCTCCTGGATTCCCCTGACGCGGAATCCCCAGACTGCTCTTCCCCCCTCCTGCGGGCTTTGGGACCTGGCTCTTCCTCCGGGCTCCCTGTACTTCCGCGCGCCTCTACATTTGAACTTGGCGCGCGCCCAACCTCTAACCTTCCTTTTGACAGTTACACTACTCCCTTCACTACTCCCCTCCCTTTCCGGGAGGGTGGCTTGCTCCGACCTCCCTTCCTTCTCTGCTGCCGGAGCTGCTTCCCCTGATACACTGGAACCTCCACCCCCTTCGCTGCACTCTGGCGGGGAGGCTGGTCCTGACGCCCAGCTGCCACTTTGGGATCCCCCGCTGGCCCCCTGTTCCTGACACGTCCCCCCTGGGGCTCCCCTGGCCTTGACCACCGGCGCCCCCTTCTGGGAATCCTCTGATTCACTGGAAAGACTCATGGAATCTCTTGAGTCATTGTCATCCTCTTCCTCGCTGTCCTGGGATTCATCCCCATCGCTCTCCATCTCCTGCCTACCCTGTGCCTCTGTCCCTGAACCCCTGACATCCATCCCCCCCTCGAAGCCCCCCCTTCCCCCCTCCCGCTGCTCGGGCGCAGGTTCCGGGAGCTCCGTTGTAGCGGGTGTCAAGGCTGCCTCAAGTCTTAGCTCACAAAAGACCAACGCCTCTGTCTTCTTATATACAAAAGTGTTTATTGCAGTTCATGGTTTGCTTGACATCCTAGGCGCGCAGCCTTACGTCTTTTACGCTAGACCGCCGAAGTCCCCTCTGAGTCAGTTCCTCCCCTGCACCAATTTAAGAGACTTGCGCTGCTCCACCTCTTTCTCTCCTTCCTTTTCCGCAGGGTCCTTCTGCCCACTGGGGTTTCGCCCCTCCTGGATTCCTCTGATGCGGAATCCCCAGACTGCTCTTCCCCCCCTCCTGCGGGCTTTGGGACCTGGCCCCTCCTCCGGGCTCCCTGCACTTCCGCGCGCCTCTACATTTGAACTAGGCGCGCGCGCCAAACCTCTAACTTTCCTTTTGACAGTTACACTACTCCCTTCACTGCTCCCTCCCCTTCCGGGAGGGCGGCTTGCTCTGACCCCCTCCTTTCTCTGCTGCTGGAGCTGCTTCCTCTGACACACTGGAAACTCCACCCCCTTCGCTGCACTCTGGTGGGGAGGCTGGTCCTGACGCCCAGCTGCCACTTTGGGATCTTCCGCTAGCACCCTGCTCCTGACACTTCCCCTGGGGCTCCTGGCCTTGACCACCGGCGCCCCCTTCTGGGAATCCTCTGATTCGCTGGAAAGACTCATGGAATCTCTTGAGTCATTGTCATCCTCTTCCTCGCTGGCTTGGAATTCCTCCCCCTCGCTCTCCATCTCCTGCCTACCCTGTGCCTCTCTCCCTGAACCCCTGACAGCGGGGGTAGATGCTGAATACAGTCCGGCGACGTCGATCTCCTCTGCTTCCAGTTCAGTGTATGAGTGTTCGAAACCAGGGTCCTCCCCCAACACATCCAAACCCTTCCCTCCCCCTGTTACTTCAGGCGATGCTGCTTGCCAAGGCTCCCGTCGCCACCCCACTTCTGGTTGATCGTCCCACCAATAAGAGCGGTCTGTGTCCACCCCCGAGCACGATCCCCTTGGAGGGCTCGATTCCGGCGTGGTCCCCTCTGCGGAGGAGAACCCCGGAAGGTGCTGTCTGAAAGTGTGGGCGTAAAAGCCAGTCGTCAAAATACTCCGCTGGCATGGGCCTGTGTGGGAAGAGTGCATGGAACTCGTCTTTAAGAAGAGGTTCCTCCAGAGCATAATCTGGCACCCAACTGTTGGCGCTGGCCGGGGTACCTTCCCTGGCGAGGAGGTATTCTACTCCCTCCTCCCCCCATCTCGAGTCCAGAATTTCCGTGGCCTCGTTGAGTGTCGGGGCCCTCGGTGACTTCCCCCCCCCCTGGTGACTTTCTACGTGGGTCTGGTGCCGTCTCTGGCTCCTGAAATCTATGTGGGGCCTTGTAGGGTGTAAGCACCGACCTATGAAAGACCGGGTGCATTCTGGAACCTTCTGGGAGGGTCAACCGAAAAGCTATGGGGTTGATCCTGCCCTCAACTTGGTATGGCCCTAGCTGTCTGTGTCCTAGCTTCTCCTTAGCTAACGACTTGGCCGGCACCGCCTGAGCTGCTAACCATACCCAGTCCCCCACCTGGATGTCTTCTCCTGCCCTCCTGTGCTTGTCTGCCTGCACCTTGTAGGCGTGTTTAGCTAGTTCCAAGTGCCGTCGTAGCTCCTCGTGGACCTCCTGCAATTCTGCTGCTAAATGCTCAGCTCCCTGCGACTCCCCCTGCGTCGGTGTCTCCAACCCCGGGAAGGTTCTGGGATGTTGCCCATTGTTGGCGAAGAACGGTGTCACCCCCGTTGACGCGTGCTTCGTGTTGTTGTAGGCAAACTCGGCCATCGGTAAGTAGTCCACCCAAGTTGCAGGCTGTTGATTGGCGTAACATCGCAGGTATTGCTGCATGATGGCGTTGACCCTCTCCGCTTGGCCGTTGGTTTGCGGGTGTCTCGCCGACGCTAAGTTGATCTTGACATTCAGGATGCCCAGGAGCTTCTGCCAGAAACTGGAAATGAATTGGCGACCCCGGTCGGACAGGATGGACCGTGGTAAGCCGTGCACCCGGAACACGTGGTCTATGAACAGCTTGGCGGTCTGTTCCGCTGTTGCCACCTTCGCGCAAGGAATGAAGTGCGCCATCTTGGTGAACAGGTCTACAACCACAAGCACCGCCGTCTTGCCTCGCGAACTGGGCAGATCAGTAACAAAGTCCAGCGCCACCCTTTCCCACGGCTGTAGTGGCGTCTCCAGCGGTTCCAGCAGTCCCGCTGGCTTCTTGTGCACTGGCTTGGACCTCTGTCAAGTGTCACACCTGGCGACGTAATCCGCGACCTCTCCTCGCATCTGGGGCCACCAAAAGTCCCTGGCTACTAAGTCCGCCGTCTTTTCCTTGCCGAAGTGACCCGCGCTGGGTGCGTTGTGTAACTGCTGTAGAACCTTCGCGCGGAGATCGTCTCCCGGCACGTAGAGAGCACCTTTGCGGGTTAGCAGGCCGTCGCGTATCTGGAATTCGTCGTCCTTTGCTGTCCCTCTTCGCACCTCCTCCATCTTGGATTGTGCGAACGGATCCGTCTGCAGCGCGCGTCGCACCGCGTCCAGGTCCACGGCGGCGCAAGCGCACGCCCACGCCTGCGGTGTGAAAATGTGCTTGGCTGCCACTGGTGCCGCTTCCTCGAGATACTGCGGTTTCCTGGAGAGCGCATCCGCTATGACGTTGTTGTCTCCCGGGATATACTCTATCCTGAAGTCGAAATCCGCAAAGAACTCCGCCCATCGTATGTGCCTCTGGCTCTGGAGCTTCGCCGTGCGCCAATACTCTAGGTTCTTGTGGTCCGTGCGGACCTGCACGGTGTGCTTGGCTCCGATGAGGAAGTGCCGCCACGCCTTGAAAGCCGCGTGGATGGCCAACAACTCCCTGTCCCAGATGGTGTAGTTCTGTTCTGACTTGCTGAGCTTCCGGGAATAGAAAGCGCAGGGCCTCCAGTTCCCTTGCGAATCTTCCTGCAAGAGGACGGCCCCCACTGCTCTGTCAGATGCGTCAGTCTCAACCCGCATGGGCCTGCCGGGATTCACGTGTAGCAACTGGTCTTCGGACGCGAAGAGACTCTTAAGTCTCCTGAAGGACTGCTCCGCCTGGTCCGTCCAGGTGAACTTTTCTTCTTGGAACTGAGGGTGTCCGTGATAGCTGCCGTCTCTTTCGCGAAACCCCTGATGAACTTGCGGTAAAAGTTGGCGAAGCCGACGAACCTCTGGACCTCCTTCCGATTGCGCGGGCTATTCCAGTCCAACACCGCGCGGACCTTGGCGCTGTCCATGGCTAGTCCCTTGTCGGACAGCCGGTAGCCCAGGAAATCCACCTCCGTCACGTCGAACTGGCACTTCTCCAGCTTGGCGTAGAGTCTGTGCTCCCGTAGCCTCTGCAGGACCTCCTTTACGTCTCTTTCGTGAGTCTCCTGCGATTCTGAGAAGATCAGAATATCGTCGAGAAAGCATACGCACTTCTTGTAGAGGAGTCCTGCTAGCACGTGGTGCATGAATGCTTGAAAACAGTGGGAGCCATTTTGGAGACCAAACGGCATAACTCTGTATTCATAGGTGCCCAGCGGCGTGAACATGGCCGTCTTCCACTCGTCACCTTCCCTCATGCGTATTAGATTGTCTGCTCCGCGTAGATCCAACTTGGTGAAGATCCTCCCCTTCCTCACCGTCGTGAGCAGGTCGTCAATCTTGGGCATGGGGAAAGCCTTGGGTTTTGTCATCGAGTTTATGGCCCTATAGTCCACAATGAGCCGTTTTTGGGGCGTGTCCTTCTTCTTCACGAAAAACACAGGACTGCCCCCCACCGCCTTGGATTCTCGGATGAATCCCGCTTCAAATTGTGATCTATGAACTCCCTGAGTTCCTGCATCTCATCTTCAGACATGGAATACAGCTTCGCAGTCGGTAGCGTCGCCCCTGGTAAGAGGTCAATTGCACAGTCGTAGGGCCGGTGGGGTGGTAATTGGTCAGCTTCCGTCTCGCAGAAAACCTCCAAAAACCCCTTGTACTTGTGGGGCACCGCCTGCACCATGCCTAGATGCAACTGTTGCCCTTCCTCCTGGCCCTCCTCCTCCTGGCCGATCTGGATGCAATGTTGTGCGCAGTAGGACGAGCCAAAGGTGAGCTGCCGCTGGTACCACGCCAATGATGGGCTGTGTCTGTCCAGCCAACTCATGCCTAACACTATAGGCGTGTCAGACAGTTGGGTGACGTTGAAACTGATGACCTCGCGATGATTCCCAATTTTCAGCAGCCCTACGTCTGCTACGCTTAGACCGCTGCGTCCCCTCTGAATCCGTCCCTCCCCTGCACCAGTTTAAGAGGCTTGCGCTGCTCCACCTCTTTCTCTCTTTCCTTTTCCGCAGGGTCTTTCTGCCCGCCGGGGTTTTGCCCCTCCTGGATTCCTCTGACGCGGAATCCCCCGACTGCTCTTCCCCCCTCCTGCGGGCTTTGGGACCTGGCCCCTCCTCCGGGCTCCCTGTACTTCCGCGCGCCTCTACATTTGAACTTGGCGCGCGCCCAACCTCTAACCTTCCTTTCGACAGTTACACTACTCCCTCCCCTCCTCCCCTCCCCTTCCGGGAGGGTGGCTTGCTCCGGCCTCCCTCCCTTCTCTGCTGCCGGAGCTGCTTCCCCTGATACACTGAAACCTCCACCCCCTTCACTGCACTCTGGCGGGGAGGCTGGTCCTGACGCCCAGCTGCCACTTTGGGATCCCCCGCTGGCCCCCTGCTCCTGACACGTCCCCCTGGGGCTCCCTGGCCTTGACCACCGGCGCCCCCTTCTGGGAATCCTCTGATTCGCTGGAAAGACTCATGGAATCTCTTGAGTCATTGTCATCTTCTTCCTCGCTGTCCTGGGATTCATCCCCATCGCTCTCCATCTCCTGCCTACCCTGTGCCTCTGTCCCTGAACCCCTGACAATATCATTTCCCAGAAAGCCTTAATCTTTGGGCACGTCCACCAAAGGTGAAAAAATGTACCTTCAGTTTCTTTACATTTCCAACATTTATTATCGGGCAAGTGATAAATTTTTGCAAGCTTGACTGGGGTTATGTACCACCTGTATATCATTTTCATAATATTCTCTCTTAGGGCATTACATGCCGTAAATTTCATACCTGTGGTCCATAACTGTTCCCAGTCAGCGAACATAATGTTGTGTCCAACGTCTTGTGCCCATTTAATCATAGCAGATTTCACTGTTTCATCATGAGTGTTCCATTTCAGCAGCAAGTTATACATTCTTGACAAATTCTTAGTTTTGGGTTCTAACAGTTCTGTTTCTAATTTTGATTTTTCCACCTGGAAACCAATTTTCTTGTCCAAATTGTATGCCTCCTGTCAGAGCTGCTTCCAGATCCTAGCTCACAGAGGATCACGCTAGCCAGCGATCATTAAACAAAAGTCTTTATTGAGTTACAGTTTCCATTCTCAAGCTGCTGCGTGCAACTCTACGTCTCATGCTTAGACCGGCGAAGCTCCGTCTGAGTCTCCGCCCCTTGTACACCAACTTAATATCCTAGCCCTGCTCCACCTTTTCCGCCTGACTGTTCTTCTCTGGGTCCCTCTGCCCCCCGGGGTCTCTTCCTTCCGGGATTCCTCTGACGCTGACGCTGACTCCCCTGACTCTTCTCCCTCCTTTCGGCGGGCTTTGGGACCTGGCTCCCTTTCCGGGCTGCCTACTGCGCCACCTTCCTGTGCATTTGAACTTGGCGCGCGCGCCCAACCTTCCACCTTCCGTCTGACCGTTTCTTCGCTCCCCGATGGAGGTGTGGCCACTCCTGACTCGTGCCCTCCCCCCTGTTGTGAGTTGCCAGCGCTTGATCCCTGGTGCCCTTCCTCTTCCCTGCTCTCTGGCGGTGACGTTGGTCCCGATTTCCAACTGCTCCCCTCTGAGTCCCCTCTGGCTCTATCTTCCTGGGGTGTCCCCCTAGGCTCCCCCCTTGCCCTGGCCACTGGTGCTCCTTTCTGTGAATCTTCTGATTCACTGGAAAGACTCGGAGATCTCGGGTCGTCGTCATCACTCATCTTTTCTTCTGCCTCCTCCCCCTCGCTCTCTGTTTCCTCCCTTGCCCTTGCCTCTGCTCCTGAACCCCTGACATCCATCCCCCTCGAAGCCCCCTCTTCCCCCTCCCCTCCTTCCGGTGCGGGATCTGGGTGCTGCCGTGTCAGGGGACGAATGTCGGATACAGTTCGCTTCCCGTGGCGGGCCGCCATCTGAAGTCTTCCGGTTCTTCCTCCCTGCTCTCGTTGACGACGGTCACCTCCGCTTCCATCTCTGTGCCGCCGTGCTCGAAACCCGGGTCGTCCCCGAAAAAGTCCATGTCCGTCTCTCCCTCGTTGCCTTCTGGAGACGTTGCTCGTCCTGGACCCTCCAGCCACCTTCTACGGAACTGCTCCTCTGGTCGATCATCCCACCAATACGAGGGTTCTGAAGCAGATCCTGAGGGTGACCCCTCCGGGGAACGGGCGTCTCGTGTCGGTTCCTCGTCCGAGTCGAACCCCGGAACGTGCTGGCTGAAAGCGTGGGCGTGAAAAGCCAGTCGTCGAAAAAGTCTGCTGGCATTGGCCTATGTGGGAAGAGGGCATGAAACTCTTCTTTGAGCAGAGGTTCGTCTAAAGCGTAGCCCGGCACCCAGCTGTTGGCACTGGCCGGGGTGCCCTCCTTGGCGAGAAGGTATTCTACCCCCTCTTCCCCCCCATCTGGAGTCCAAAATCTCCGTGACTTCGTTGATGCGCTCCTCCCGTGCCACTCCCCCCTGCCCGGTTCTCTCTCGGAGCGGACCCGGTGCCGTTCCTGGTTCCTGAAACCTGTGAGGTGCCTTGTAGGGAGTGAGCACCGATCTGTGGAACACCGGATGCATTCTGGAACCCTCCGGAAGAGCCAGCCTGAAAGCCACCGGGTTGACCTGTTCTTCGACTTGGTAGGGCCCCAGTTGTTTATGCCCTAGTTTCTTCTTCGCCAACGACCTGGCCGGCACTGCGTGGGCTGCTAACCAGACCCAGTCTCCCACATGGATCTCTTCGCCAACCCTTCTGTGTTTGTCCGCTTGTACCTTGTATGCGTGTTTAGCCAGCTCCAGGTGCCGCCGCAGCTGATCGTGGACCTCCTGCAACTCCGACGCGAATGCATCTGCTGTCTGCGGCTCCCCTCCCCCATTCTTTCCAGTCCCGGGAAGGTTCTGGGGTGCCTCCCGTTGTTGGCGAAGAACGGCGTGACCCCCGTGGACACGTGCTTCGTGTTGTTGTAGGCAAACTCGGCGAGAGGCAGGTAATCCACCCACGTCGCAGGCTGTTGATTCGCATAACATCTCAGGTACTGCTGCATGATGGCATTGACCCGCTCCGCTTGCCCATTGGTCTGCGGGTGTCTAGCCGACGCCAGGTTGATCTTGACGTTCAGGAAGCCCATCAGCCTCTGCCAGAAGTTCGAGATGAACTGTCGCCCTCGGTCGGACAGAATAGACCGCGGCAGACCGTGAACCTTGAACACGTGGTCTATGAACAGTTTGGCGGTTTGTTCCGCCGTGGCCACCTTCGCACACGGAATGAAATGTGCCATCTTGGAGAACAAGTCCACCACCACCAGCACAGCCGTCTTGCCCCTCGAGCTGGGCAGATCCGTGACAAAGTCCAGGGCCACTCTCTCCCATGGTTCGAACGGAGTTTGCAGCGGTTCCAGCAGTCCGGCCGGCGGTCTGTGCACTGGTTTGGCCCTCTGGCAGGTGTCACACCTCGCCACGTAGTCCGCGACTTCCCTTCTCATTCCTGGCCACCAGAAGTCTCTGGCTACTAATTCCACCGTTTTCTCCTTGCCAAAGTGCCCGGCAGTGGGCGCGTCGTGCAGCTGCTGCAGTACCTTGGCGCGAAGTTCGTCTCCCGGCACGTAGATGGCCCCTTTACGGATGAGCAAACCATCTCGCAGCTGGAACTCGTCGGTCGCTGCCGGTCGTGCCCCTGTGCGCCTCTGCCATCTTTGCTTGCGCGAAGGAGTCATCCTGCAACGCTCGTCGCACCGCCTCCAGGTCAACTGTCAGAGCTGGCTCCAGGTCCCAGCTCACAGAGGACCAACGCTAGCCGGCAGTAATGTACAAAAGTCTTTATTGAAGTACAGTTTCCATTTTCAAGCCGGAGCGCCCCAGCTCTACGTCTAGGGGTTAGATCGGCGAAGCTCCATCTGAGTCTCCGCCCCTGTACACCAGTTTAAGATTCTAGCCTTACTCCACCTCTTACGTCTCTCCTTTCTCCTCTGGGTCCTGCTACCCCCCGGGGTTCCTTCCTTCCTGGATTCTTCTGACGCTGACCCCCTGACTCCTTCCCCTCTTTTCGGCGGGCTTTGGGACCTGGCTCCCTATCCGGGCTGCCAACTGCGCCGCCCTCCTGTACATTTGAACTTGGCGCGCGCGCCCAGCCTTCAACCTTCCTCTCGACCGTTTCCTCGCTCCCCGATGGAGGCGTGGCCAATCCTGACTCATGTCCTCCCACTGGCAGTGCGCCGCCTGATCCCGATGCCTGGGACTCCTCCCCCCCTACTGCACTCTGGTGTGGACGCTGGTCCTGATTTCCAACTGCTGCTCTCTGAGTCCCCTCTGGCCCCTTCTTCCTGGGGTGTCCCCTCGGCACCCCCTTGCTCTGACCAAGGGAGCCCCTTTCTGTGAATCTTCCGATTCGCTGGAAAGACTCAGAGACCTCGGACCGCTGTCATCGCTAACATTTCCTTCGGACTCCTCCCCTCGCTCTCTATTTCCTCCCTTTCCTGTGCCTCTGCTCCTGAACCCCTGACATCCATCCCCCTCGAAGCCCCCCTTCCCCCTCCCCTCCTTCAGGTGTGGGTACTGGGTGCTCCGTCGTTGTGGGGGTGAGTGCCGGATACAGTTCGTCCCCCGTGGCGTGCATCCAGCCGGATAAGTCCGGCTCGTCCTCCGTGCTCTCGCCGACCTCAATTTCCTCTGCTTCCATCTCTTTGCCGCCGTGCTCGAACCCAAGGTCCTCCCCGACACGTCCATGTCCGTCTCTCCCCGGTCTCCTCCGGGGACGTTGCCTGCCAAGGACCCCCCAACCACTTCCTGCGCCACTGCTCCTCTGGTTGATTGTCCCACCAATAGGAACGGTCTGAGGCAGACCCCGAGGGTGATCCCTCCGGGGAACGTGTTTCTAGTGCCGGTTCCTCGTCCGAGGTGAACCCCTGGAATGTGCTAGCTGAAAATGTGGGTGTGAAAAGCCAGTCGTCGAAATACTCGGCTGGCATGGGCCTGTGTGGGAAAAGGGCATGAAACTCGTCCTGAGAAAAGGTTCGTCCAAGGCATGGTCTGGCACCCAACTGTTGGCGCTGGCCGGGGTACCTTCTCTGGCGAGAAGATATTCTACTCCCTCTTCCCCCCATCTCGAGTCTAAAATCTCTGTGACTTCGTTGACGGGTTCCCGCCTTGGCGACCCCCTTGTGGGCGTTTCCCTGAACGGGTCTGGTGCCGTTCCTGGCTCCTGAAATCTATGAGGTGCTTTGTAGGGCGTGAGCACTGATCTATGGAAAACTGGGTGCATTCTGGATCCCTCCGGCAGTGTCAACCGGAAGGCCACTGGATTGACCTGTGCCTCGACTTGGTAGGGTCCTAGCTGCTTATGCCCTAGCTTCTTCTTCGCTAACGATCTGGCCGGCACTGCCTGGGCTGCTAACCAAACCCAGTCTCCCACCTGTATGTCTTCCCCAACCCTTCTGTGCTTGTCAGCCTGCAGTTTGTATGCGTGCTTTGCTAGTTCTAACTGCCTCCGAAGCTGTTCGTGAACCTCCTGCAACTCTGATGCTAAGGCTTCCGCTGCCTGTGGCTCCCCTCCGCGCTCTCGCTAATCCCGGGAAGGTTCTGGGATGCCTCCCGTTGTTGGCGAAGAACGGTGTCACCCCCGTGGACACGTGCTTCGTGTTGTTGTAGGCGAACTCAGCGAGCGGCAGGTAGTCCACCCATGTTGCCGGCTGCTGATTTGCGTAGCATCGCAGGTACTGCTGCATGATGGCGTTGACTCGCTCCGCTTGTCCGTTCGTCTGCGGGTGTCTCGCCGACGCTAGGTTGATCTTGACGTTCAGGAAACCCATCAGCTTCTGCCAGAAGTTCGAGATGAACTGTCGCCCCGGTCGGACAGGATAGACCGTGGCAGACCGTGAACCCTGAACACGTGGTCTATGAACAGTTTGGCGGTCTGTTCCGCCGTGGCCACCTTCGCGCACGGAATGAAGTGGGCCATTTTGGTGAACATGTCCACCACCACTAGCACTGCCGTCTTGCCCCTCGAGCTGGGTAGATCCGTGACAAAGTCCAGGGCCACCCTCTCCCACGGTTCGAGCGGTGTCTGCAGCGGTTCGAGCAGTCCCGCCGGCGGTTTGTGCACTGACTTGGCCCTTTGGCAGGTGTCGCACCTCGAGACGTAATCCGCGACTTCCCCCGCATCTTGGGCCACCAAAATCTCTGGCTACTAATTCTACCGTCTTCTCTTTGCCAAAGTGCCCGGCGGTGGGTGCGTCGTGCAACTGCTGCAGTACTTTCGCGGAGGTCGTCTCCCGGTACGTAGAGGGCCCTCTGCGGATGAGCAATCCGTCGCGTATCTGGAACTCGTCGTCCTCCGCCGTGCCCCTTTGCACCTCTGCCATCTTTGCTTGCGCGAAGGGGTCCTCCTGCAGTGCTCGACGTACAGCATCCAGGTCCACGGTTGCTGAAGCGCACGCCCACGCTTTCGGTGCGAAAATGTGCTTGGCCGCTGCTGGTGCCGCCTCCTCGAGGTATTGCGGCTTTCTGGACAGTGCATCCGCCATGATGTTGTTGTCGCCTGGGATGTACTCTATCCTGAAGTCGAAATCCGCAAAGAACTCCGCCCATCGTATGTGCCTCTGGTTCAGGAACCTTGCCGTGCGCCAGTACTCCAGGTTTTTATGGTCCGTGCGGACCTGCACTGTGTGTTTGGCTCCAATGAGGAAGTGCCGCCACGCCTTGAATGCTGCATGAATGGCCAGCAACTCCCTGTCCCAGATGGTGTAGTTCTGCTCTGACTTGCTGAGCTTCCTGGAGTAGAAGGCACACGGTCTCCAGTCCCCATGCGGGTCTTGCTGCAACAGTACTGCTCCCACGGCTCTGTCTGAGGCGTCCGTTTCAACCCTCATCGGTCTGCTGGGATTCACATGCAGTAGCTGCTCTTCGGACGAGAAGAGACGCTTGAGTTTCTGAAAGGACTGCTCCGCTTGCTCCGTCCAGATGAACTTCTTCTTCTTGGAGCTGAGCGTGTCGGTAATGGCCGCCGTCTGCATCGCGAACCCCTTGATGAACTTGCGGTAAAAGTTGGCGAAACCGACAAACCGCTGGACCTCCTTCCGATTGCGCGGGCTCTTCCAGTCCAACACTGAGCGAACCTTGGCGCTGTCCATGGCGAGCCCCTTGTCCGACAACTTGTAGCCCAGGAAATCTACCTCCTTCATGTCGAACTGGCACTTCTCCAGCTTGGCGTACAGCCTGTGCTCCTGCAGTCTCTGCAGAACTTCCTTGACGTCTCCCTCGTGGGTCTCCTCTGATTCTGAAAATATCAGGATGTCGTCCAGGAAGCAGACGCATTTCTTGTAGAGGAGACCCGCCAATACGTGATGCATGAAGGCTTGAAAACAGTGGGAGCCATTTTGTAATCCAAAGGGCATAACTCTGTATTCATAGGTGCCCAGGGGCGTGAACATGGCAGTCTTCCATTCGTCGCCCTCCCGTATGCGAATCAGGTTGTACGCCCTCGCAGATCCAACTTTGTGAAAACGCGTCCTTTCCTCACCGTTGCGAGCAGGTCATCTATCTTGGGCATGGGAAAGGCTGTGGGCTTGGTTTTCGAGTTCAAAATTCTATAGTCCACCACAAGCCTTTTTGGGGCGTGTCCTTCTTCTTCACAAAGAATACAGGACTGCCCCCACTGCCTTCGACTCCTGGATGAAACCGCGCTTCAAGTTGAGGTCTATGAACTCCCTGAGTTCCTGCAGCTCGTCTTCAGACATGGAATACAGTTTCCCGGTTGGCAGCGTCGCCCCTGGCAGGAGGTCAATCTTGCAGTCATAAGACCTGTGGGGAGGTAGCTTGTCCGCTTCCTTCTCGCAGAAAACCTCCAAAAACGCTGCGTACTTGAGTGGCACTGCTTGCAGCGTGCCTAATTGTAGCTGCGGGTCATCCTCTTCCCCTTCCGGGCTAGGCAGAATGCAATGTTCCGCACAGTATGAGGAGCCGAAGGTCAGTTGTCGCTGGTACCACGCCAATGCTGGGCTGTGCCTGTGCAGCCAACTCATGCCTAATACTATA